GTCCTTGACAGCCCCTCTCAGTTGTCTCCCCCCTCTTCCAGACCCCGTCCATCTACCTCTGGTCTATCCTCCTGTTCCCTTCCCTCCATCCTTACTCAGTTTACCCATGCCCTCTAACCCTGATTTTGCTGACCCTGATCCTGATCCTGATCTTGAGCTTATTTAATATGCTGTGTTCTTCTTTACCTTTGTTTCTTCATTGTTCTCTGTGACTGTCCTTTCTCTTTTTGATGTCTATTCTTCAATGGAATATTCGTGGATTTTATGCCATCTTCCATGAACTCCAACTTCTGATTACACAGTTTTCACCACTTTGTGTGTCTCCAGGAGCCGATGCTTGGTGCTCGTCTTGGTCATTATTGTGGTTATTCCTTTCTTTCTCTCCACCCCCCCCCCCAGCTCTTGCTGGGGCCCATAACTCTACTGGTCTCTTGATTTGTACTGATATTTCCTTCGTCCCCCCCCCCCCTACTGTTTCTATCGCCTATCCATTGTTCTGCTTCCCGTGTTTTTCATTATGGTATCAAATTGTGCGCAATTTAAAGGTGCTCGTTTTGAAACTATCCCAAAGTTGATCAGATAAAAAATGAATTTTCTACAAATATTTTATTGTTGGACTCAAATAGTGTCACGAGATAGGACTCAGAAGAAAAATTGGTGATGCATTAAGTGTTACGAGATAGGGAAAGTACTAAGATAAGTTTTTAAAACTTGCACAAATACTTTCCAATTCATTTTGCATAATCAACTAGGCAAATGCTCCAACTTTGTCAAAATGATCACAGTGTAACTTAAAAAACAAGAGAATCAAAATTAATTTTAAAATTAATATTGAAAACTTCAGATTTTCAATTCAGAATAAAAAATATGAACTCTCATTAATTGTTCATTTAATGTTATTATTCTCTCAGAATAGCATATGATCTTCATTTTAATTAAATTAGAATATAGGTTTTTAGTATAGTTTACTGTAAAAAAAATCGTCAATAGGACATTTGAAATATGTGGCAAATTTAGACCAAAAAAAAATTATAACTCCATATGTATAAAGTTTATGAAAAATCCATTCTGATGTGATTGTAGAACACACAGCTGAGCACACTGAGCCAATTAGGTGAGTACACAATATCTCAAAATAGTGAGAATCAGTTAATAACTGGAATTTTAGAAGCCACTCAAAGTTGAAACTCTGGTTTCAGAGATAATGGAAGTTGAAGTTATCGACAATGAATAAAGGTACAGTAGTTTTAATTTGTTAATTTAATTGTATGTTTTAATAAATATTGTTTGGCATTCGTACTCGAATATGTGAAAGTTGTAGGTTAATATGTGTTGAAATGAAATCAAGAAAAAATACCCCCCAGAAAAACACAAAATATAGGGATAATTATAATAAATATAATGATTTAGGGGATATATTTAGGGTATCCTTTACAAAAGTGAGAAAGCCCTAATATGGTCCCAAATCATCAAAACAACCTAAAGAGACAAAAAAATAGAGTTTGAAATCACAGAAAAAAATCGACCAAAAAAAATTAAAAGTCCAAAGTTTTGCTAGTGGTGACTGACATATTTGTTGACCAATTTCATTCTATCTTCACATAGTTATGAAAACATATGGATTCTCCAGGATGTAAAGGTTAAAACAATATCAGATAATAAACAAACGAGAAAAAATAACTAAAATCTTTAAAAAAAAAAAAAAAAAAATCCCCCCCCAAAAATATTTTTGGGACATTGATAAAAATAACATATATTAACATTGGACAATGTATTTATATGATATATAACAAAATAGATGATATTAACATGGTTATTCATTATGTTTTGTGTTATTATGTATTACTCGGCAATGATATAAAGCATATCCACTTTGTGGACACTTCTTACTATCATTCTTCTTCTTTTTTGAACATAGGACAGGTGCTTGCATTTCTTTATTACTGCATAATCCTTCAGTTACAGTTATTAGGAGCTGTTCTTATCAATAAAACGTTCTTATTTTTCAAAAATTCGTCTAAAGTTAATTTCTAAAAATATTTTTATGAGAGTTTCACGACACTGAAGCCAATAAGTTGGAGATTCATTTAACATTTTTAAGTTATTTTTACATAATTCAAATATTTTTTATGTTAATCCCCCTAAATTTGCGGTAATGTGTGCGGTATAAGGGTTAAGGTTCTGTCACATACTTCTTGAGGAGCGGATAGGCGCACGCTCCTCTCGTTGCATTCTTCTTCTCATACTTTCTAAACTCGATTATGGTTGCCCTGCTTACTCTTCTGCTTCTCCTTCTGCTCTTCGCCGTCTTGATCCTTTGCACCATACTGGGTTACGCCTTAGCTCTGGTGCCTTTCGTTCAACTCCTATCCTCAGCTTGTATGTTGGCACTGGCTTCCTGTCTCTCCAAGACCGCCGAGATTGCTACTGTCTTTGCTACCTTGCGCAGTCTTTACAACACCCTCACTCTCGCCTGTGTCGTGCTTTGACTTTTTCCCCTCCTGTAGTTCCTGTTCCCTTTCACTACTTCCCACTTTCTGTCCGGTTGTCTCACCTGCAGCATTCTCTTTCGGTTAGTATAACTGATATTTCTCGTGTTGTTCCGTCATTGCCGCCGTGGAAGGTCCCCCTTCCTCATTATTGCAAATCCCTGACCCACATCACTAAAGCTATTACCCCTCCTACGGTTCTGAAACGCCTTTTTCTTGAACACTTCTCTTCACATTCCCGCTCAGTTTCCATCTTCACCGATAGGTCTAAGTCTGCAGACGGTGTAGGCTACTGTTGTTTTCCTGACTACACCTATCTGTGTCGCCTGCCTTCAGAAACTAGCATCTTCACGGCAGAACTTTATGCTATTCTCTATGTTCTTTGTCTCCTGCTTTCTTGCTTTCAATCCTCCTTTGTGGTTGTAGTTGACTCTCGCAGCACCCTCATGGCTTTGGAGTCCTTTAATCCAGTCCATCCAATGGTCATCGAGATTCAACATTGGCTGTTTCTTATCTCCAGTAGATTTAAGACAGTTGAGTTTTGCTGGGTTCCCAGCCATATTGGTGTGTCTTTAAATGAGTGTGCGGACACTGCCGCTAAGGAAGCTATCCCCACTTGTCCCATCTCCCGTAAAGGGTAAAGGTATTCCTTATTCCGACTTTTACCCAGTTATTCATTCCTCCATCCTTGCCCGTTGGCAGAGTTGTTGATCTTCTGTTACTGGTAACAAACTGCGTACTCTTAAGGATAGTGTGTCCCTGTGACTTTCCTCCTACCACCAAAATCGTCGATGGGAAACAGCTCTGGCGAGGCTGCATATTGCCCATACGCACTTAACTCATGGACACTTAATGGAGCATCGCCCTGTTCCTTATTGTCCTAACTGCACTGTCCCTCTTACAGATGTGCATATCCTTGTTGAATGTCTTGACTTCCAGGACGAGCATGTGTCTTGCTTTCCGACCATTCCCCACAGCCACTTTTCCCTCGATAGAATTCTAGGTGAATCAGATACTTTTGATATCGTTTGCCTTATGCATATCTGTTCTCTTATTTTTTTTTTTTTTTGAGATATATACAAGAGTTGTTACATTCTTGTACAGCCACTAGTACGCGTAGCGTTTCGGGCAGGTCCCTTGAATACGACCCCCACGAAGAATCATTGTTACAACCAAGTACCCATTTTACTGTTGAGTTAAACAGAGGCTACAGTTAAGGATTTGCGCCCAGTAAATCCTCCCCGGCCAGGATACGAACTCATGGCAAAGCGCTCACGGAATGCCAGGCGAGTGTCTTACCACTACACCACGGAGACTGGTGGTCTTATTGGCATTGGCTTATTGGCACCCTCAGTGATATTTAGTGCCCTCTGATTATTCCGCACATTTGATGGTGCTACATAGCCTTCCCGGCTTGATGCCTTCTTTGATAATTAACTACTTACTTACTCATAGACCGGTAATGTTCATTGTCTACATAAATGACCTACCAGAAGGAATACAGAATTATATGAACATGTTTACTGATGTTCCTAAAATACTAGGGAAGATAAGAAACTTAGATGATTGTCATGCCCTTCAAGGAGACCAGGACAAAATAAGTGTATGGAGCACCACTTGGCAAATGGAATTTAATGTTAATAAATGCCATATTTTGGAATGTGGAATAAGAGAATATAGACCACATACAACCTATTAATTATATGAAAAAAATTTAAAAAATTCTGATAAAGAAAGTGATCTAGATAGATAGATTTTTAGATAAAAACTATCACCAGAGGACCACATAAAGAACATTGTGCAAGGAGCCTATACTATGCTTCCCAATTTCAGAATTGCTTTTAAATACATGGATGGTGAAATAATAAAGAAATTATTCACGACCTTTGTGAGACCAAAACTGGAATATGCAGCATTTGTATGGTGCCCATATCTTAAAGAGCACATCAACAATCTGGAAAAGGTGTAAAGACATGCAACTAAATAGCTCCCGGAACTGAAAGACAAGAGCTACGAGGAGAGGTCAGAGGCACTAAATATGTCCCTGAAGAGAAAGAGCTTCTGGAAGCCATTTGTGGGCTTCCTCAGAAAGGCTAAGGATGAGGTCACTGAAGTGAATGTGTTCTGAGGTCAGCCTATATAACTCATGTAGGCTGTAGCATTACAGTGAATATTGCTTTAATGTTACATACGTTTGTTAATTTGTAATAATAAAATCCAATTATAAATATAATTAAAACTGATTGTTAGGAATTAAATTGCAGGAGTATATCAAATCTACAACTTGTATGATCTTAGATTTAACCTTGGGTTATTTTTGCCCGTAATTTGTAGTTCCTTTAGTATTTAATTATTTAGCTGAATTATGGCACATTTATATTTTAAAGAAATAACCTTCAATCTTTGTACACTTTCCACGTTTCTAATTACTCAGAAATGTTTGTATTTAGAGAAGTAAGCGAGCATTGCTGTAGTTTTACTGCACAGCTAGATCTTCATATATCATTTCAGGAGTGACGCTTACTGAATGCTCTAGTGGAGAGGAGAAGCCTACCTTGCCACTGTGGACAGGTAAAGTTTGTTTTAAAAGCAAATTCTTAGTTCACTTGCAAATTTTGCTAATAGTTCTTCTGTGCTTTGTCTGGCAACCAGTATCATAATTTGAATTAATTTACCTATAATATTAGCTTATCTTTACTTCCAGCATATAATTTGTGCTGCATGAGTAACATACTATACTGTGATTTGTGGCAATTTAAATTTGTTGTGTACGTGTATATTGAACACTGCACATTAATTTTGATATTTAATATACTATATGATGACTAAACCAAACACCAGAAGTGTGATGGTACTGGTTCTCCACAGTACTACAGTATTTAGTGTACATGATTTGGGGAATACAATAGATGGGTTTCTTTATGTGGAGAACCCCTCCGGTTTCCCGGAGCTTCTAGGGCTGTTATGTATGTGTTAGACCGTGGCATCAGTCAATTCAATTGGAGTTCTTGCCTACAGTGGTCGGTTATGACGAGCAGCTTAAGATGTTATATTAGACTGGGACATTAGCTAAGGAGTTCAGACCTACCAGGGACCAGCGCCAGAACCTGGCCCCTTCAGAGAGGTTTCAAGGAACAATGGCCCTGGAAAACCCCCCATGTGGTTGGGGTTTTCCTTATCTGCCATCGACCGGGGTTTGTACCCAGAAAGGTAGGCATAACAAAACAAAACCCCACATGGTAAAAACTAAAACAAAAAAACGAACAGAGAGGTAGAAACTCCCTACAGTCCCAAGGAAACAAGCAAACAAGCAAACATCACACTTTACTGCTGCGCTGATCGTCCGTGCAGCCCTCCCCGCCCCGAGAGGGGGGGGGAGCCCCGGACCTACTGCGCCGGCTGCCTAGCATCAGTTCGTAAGCTAATGTCAACCGGGATAGACGCTTCTCTGGCCTCAGTTTCCTAGGCAGTGTTTGCCTTGTGTGGCATTCACTGCCGTGTGTTGTGTTGTGCGGTGGCCAGGAGTACCTCATCAGTGCCGGAGCTGCATGCGCTTAGTGGCTTACTTCCCTAAGCGCCCTGTGAGTACTGCCCCTGCGTGACAGGGTTAACTTCCCTGGGGCATTCGGGAACCATTCCCGTAGAGCTTCTTGCTGCTCGGCATTTGCCTTGCCCTAGGGGCCAGCTGGGGCTTGGGGCCGTTGTTTGCCCCTGGGTAGGGACTGGTATTGTGCTGGTTAGGGCGTCAAGGTGTTGCGCGACCTGCCACCTAAGCGGCGACCGGTTCCTGTTGCCTCTGGAGACGGTGTACTTTTGCGGGGGTTTAATTTTGTTATTATTTTCTTTTGCCTGGTGGGGGTCTGCCTAGTGTGGCAATAGTTCCACTGGTAGTGTTTGGTGGCCCTCTGCTAGGCCCCCATGATTGTGCACGTCGCAGGGGTTTTCAGTGTTATACTCTACCCCTTGTTAATTTTGGGTGTTTAACCGGTTAGCAACACCTTGCCCGGGCTTCCCATAGTTGTTACTCCTACGGGCCCTGGGAAACCCCTGTCGGGGCTCGGTGGGCCATTGAATGTGTCTTCCGGGTCCCAACCCGTCTTGTACGGGATCGTTGGTTGCTGTGCCCTTGTCTCCGGGTGACAGTCGCCACTTTTACCTCCGTCATGCTGCCTGTTGGGTCACTGACACCTTGACCTGGAGTCTTGCGAGTTGTGTTCTCTGCTTGTTCTCCAGTACTCTCCTGATGTTATTACTGTTCAGAGTACAGGCGGCATCCGTATTGCAAGCTAGGTTAGGTTAGGTTAGTTTCCCACTCGGATGGGACCGCCCCCGTTAGGTGCTGTTTGCCCCTTTCCCTCCCTGTTCCCGGCTCCGGACGGGGTTTAGTTGGGGCCGAGACTCGGGCGGTTTTTAGGGGCTGCCCCGTTCGGGTTGGGGACGGAGGTTTTCGAGCCTGTTCCTCCCGCCAAGGCTTCTGGGTCTTACCAGTGGCCTTTTCTTGCTGCCTTTCCCATGGACTCTTCCTTTTCTTTAAGGGCAGAGGGCTTGGAGGACAGCTCTGCCCTGGGGCCTCTGTTGCGGGTTCCTGGGGCTGTGGGGGATGCCTGCTAGCTTTTCTGGGGTAGTTTGCCCATGCCTGGGTTTTCTGCTTCAGGGTGGACTTTTTCGCCCATCCAGTCTGCTTGCTTCCCACTTTTGCTGGAGTGTTTTCGTATCTTTTGCGTCAGTCACAGCCCTCTGTTCTGGTGGCCATTTTCTTCTGCCAGTTTCCCGGCGTGGCCACCAGGGCAGCGTTGCGGTTTGTTTACGTGCGCCTGGGTGTGTGAGCGAGCGTCTTGGGTGAGTTTTGAACCTTTTTCAGAGGGTTTTATTCTCCTGTTGTTGTTTCTTTGCTTCTCTGGTGTTTTCTGCCCGTTTCCTGTTCCTCTGGGAACGTTTGAGTGTTGATTTTACACCGGGTTTTCCGTTTTGTCTGTTTTGGGTCTGGGCCCTTGAGTTTGGGCTCAGTGTCCCTGTCTGTTATGCTTGCTCCCACACCTTGTCCCACGGTTTTCAGTCTGTTTTGACCGTTTCCCTGGGGGTTCTGTCTGGGGCTGTGCTTTGCCTTTCTGTGGTGTATTTCCGAAAGGAAATGTGGCGGTTTGGGCTCCCCCTGGTTTGATTCCGGGTTTCTTTGGTTTCGTTCTGGAGGTTTCTTCCTCTTGGGCCCCCTTTGTGGGTTCAGGGGGCTTTGTTTCCTCATGTGAGACCCGGTTCTGCCTTCTGGGGTTCTGGGGTCTTCCTGGCTTGCAGACTGATCTTTTTGGGCCTTGGCACGTGTTGTGGCTGTGCTGGGACTTTGGGGTTTTGTTGTCGAGGTGGGCCTTTTGATGCAGTTTTGTGCCTTCTTTGCCTGGCCGGCGTGGTGCTCTCTGCACACAGGTCGGTGGCTTGTAATTTTCTTTTCACGTGTATTTGTGTGTACACATGTGCATGTACATGTGTACACTGTGTTTGTGTGCACATGTGTGTAATTACCTAAGTGTAGTTACAGGATGAGAGCTACGCTCGTGGTGTCCCGTCTTCCCAGCACTCTTTGTCATATAACGCTTTGAAACTACTGACTTTGAAACTACTGACAGTCTTGGCCTCCACCAACTTCTCCCCTAACTTGTTCCAACCGTCTACCACTCTGTTTGCGAAAGTGAATTTTCATATATTTCTTCGGCATCTGTGTTTAGCTAGTTTATATCTGTGGCCTCTTGTTCTTAAAGTTCCAGGTCTCAGGAAATCTTCCCTATCGATTTTATCAATTCCTGTTACTATTTTGTATGTAGTGATCATATCACCTCTTTTTCTTCTGTCTTCTGGTTTTGGCATATTTAATGCCTCTAACCTCTCCTCGTAGCTCTTGCCCTTCAGTTCTGGGAGTCACTTAGTAGCATGTCTTTGCACCTTTTCCAGTTTGTTGATGTGCTTCTTAAGACATGGGCACCACACAACTGCTGCATATTCTAGCTTTGGCCTAACAAAAGTCATGAACAATTTCTTTAGTATATCGCCATCCATGTATTTAAAAGCAATTCTGAAGTTAGAAAGCGTGGCATAGGCTCCTCGCACAATATTCTTTATGTGGTAGTCAGGTGATAGTTTTCTATCTAGAACCACCCCTAGATCTCTTTCTTTATCAGAATTCTGTAAAGATTTCTCACATAATATATAGGTTGTGTGGGGTCTATGTTCTCCTATTCCACATTCCATAACATGGCATTTATTAACATTAAATTCCATTTGCCAAGTGGCGCTCCATGTACTTATTTTGTCCAGGTCTTCTTGAAGGGCATGACAATCATCTAAGTTTCTTATCCTTCCTATTATCTTAGCATCATCAGCAAACATGTTCATATAATTCTGTATACCAACTGGTAGATCATTTATGTAGACAATAAACATCACTGGTGCAAGAACTGAACCCTGTGGTACTCCACTTGTGACATTTCTCCAGTCCGATATATTGCCTCTGATCACAGCCCTCATTGTTCTATCAGTTAGAAAATTTTTCATCCATGTTAGAAGCGTACCTGTCACTCCTCCAATATTTTCCAGTTTCCAGAACAACCTCTTATGTGGAACTCTTATGTCGAAAGCCTTTTTTAGGTTCAGATAGATGCAGTCAACCCAACCATCTCTTTCCTGTAATATCTCTGTTGCTCGATCATAGAAACTGAGTAAATTCGATACACAGGATCTTCCAGATCAAAAACCATACTGTCTGTCTGATATTATATCATTTCTCTCCAGGTGTTCTACCCATTTAGATTTAATTATTTTTCCAATATTTTGACTATTACACTTGTCAATGATACCAGTCTATAATTAAGGGGGTCTTCCCTGCTTCCACTTTTGTAGATTGGAACTATGTTAGCCTGTTTCCACACATCAGCTACAATTCCTGTAAACAGGGATGCCTGAAAATTCAGTTGAAGAGGAATGCTGAGCTCAGGTGCACATTCTCTCAGAACCCATGGTGAAACTCCATCTGGACCAACTGCTTTGTTTTTATTTAGGTCCTTGAGCATTTTTTCCGCTTCGTCTCTAGACACCTCTATGTGCTCTATGATGTTCTCTGGAATTCTTATTGTATCTAGTTCCCTGAAGATTTCATTTTGTACAAACACACTTTGGAACTTTTCGTTTAATGTTTCACACATTTCCTTTTCATTTTCTGTGAATCTATTTCCCATTTTCAACCTCTGAATATTATGCTTTACCTGCAATTTGTTGTTTATGAATTTATAGAATAGACCTGGTTCTGTTTTACATTTGTCTGCAATCCCTTTTTCAAAATTTCTTTCTGCCTCTCTCCTCACTGCCGTGTAGTTGTTTCTCGCATCTTTGTATTGCTGGTATGTTTGGGGGTTCGGCCTCTTCCTGTATTGATTCCATTTTTGTGTCTTTTGGTCTCTGGCCCTCTCGTCAGAGGTATGAGTAACATACCTTGTGTGTATGTGTATATGTATGTGTAGGTGTATATACATAATTTATATGTATATATGTGTATGTATACTTTTTCTTTCAGAAGGGGCTCTGTTCCCTTCTCTGTTGACAGGGCGCTGGGGGGAGCAGCTTGCTCTGCTAACTCTCGCATGGTCCTGCAGCTAGTGGGCGCTTTTGGTTGTCCTCCGGCCTCTGGTGGCGGCGGTGGACGGCTTCTCCCCCTTTGGGGGGTTCAGGGCTGGCGGGGTGGGCTTCTTCCCCTGCGCTTCGTTGTCATCTTCGTGGGTGCATTGGACGTGATCGATCCGCCCCATCCTTCTGGGGTTCCCGTCTGCTCTATGCAGACATGGGCCCATCGAATCTGTGGTTCTTCTGAACTTCTTCAGTCTGCGCCCTGGATTCTATGCCCTCATCGGAGGACAGTTGTCTCCTGTCCGGGTTCTGTTGGGGCCGGGTGCCTGGATGGTGGCCCTGGACCTCCAGGTCAATTCTTGACACGTTCCTCTCCAGTTTTCCGGGACTGGCACCGTTGGTGGTGGGGGATTTACGCATCTTTACCGGATCTTGGTGCCCTGTCTGAGTCTGCTTGGGATTCGGTGTCTGGCCTACCTCGACGACTGGCTGGTGTGGGCTCCCAGTCGGTCCACTTGTCTGCTTGCCAGGGGTGTGGTTCTTTCCAGATCGCCAGGTTTGGTTTCCTAGTGATCTGGAGGCCGTTCCATTTGTTTCTGTCCCGGGTTCGGACCTGGCTGGGTCTTGTTTAGGGCTCTTGGGCCACTCCTTGTCATTCTCTCCAGTCGTGTTGCTGCAGCTTAAGTCCCACCTTCAGATGTTCATGAGGGGGTCCTGGGTGGCTTGGCGGTTGCTCAAGCAGTTGTGCATGAGTCTGAACTTCGACGTGCTGGTCTGCCCCGCAGGGACGGGTTTGGCTTCGGTGTCTGTTTGGTTCCTTCGGAGACTCCCCTTTCGCCTCTCTTGCAATTGTTGGGTTCGTTCCTCCGGGGATCTTGTGTTGGTGCTGCGTCACCAACTTCCTCTTTGGGTTTTTCGGGGTTCTATGCCTTGGCACCTCCTTGATCCTTCGCTCGATGTGTTCACGAACGGGCCATCTCTCGGCTATGGCTTTGTGACCAGTGCTCACCAGGTCGGCTGGGAATGGTAGGGTCCATCCGTCGGGCTAACAGCACGGTTTGGGAGTTCGTGGCTGTCTGGTTTGCGCTTCAGAGGGTTTGGGTCACTCAGTGCTCTCCCATTCAGCTCCATTCGGACTGTTTTCTGGCGGTTCTTTGCCGGAACCACAGGGTTTCTCTTAGGTGTTTGACCTTTGGGGTTGGTACCTTAGAGTGGCTTGTTTACTGGATTCTCAGGGTTTGGCTGACTGTGAGGTTCATGTCTGGGATGTGTCCTGCATCCTGGTGGACAGCTGTCTCGGTTCATTCCTCTGTTCGTGGATTGGCCAGTCGTCGCCGACTTGTTTCGTTGGCTCTGCCGGACGTATGGACTCCTGGCCATGGACGTCTTCGAGTCGGTGTGGTCTAGGCGTCACCCATTTTATGTGGCGCCCTTACCCGCCTGCGAGGCATTCACAGTGGATGCCTTTCGGCAGGACTGGTCGAGGTGGGGGTACCTGTTCCTCTTCTCCCGGCCCAGCTGTTGCTTCGGGTTCTGGCTCGGTTGAAGCCCATTCCCATGAGAATAGTCTTTATGGTCCCTTGGTGGCCAGCCCAGCTTTATTTTCAGACGTTGCTTGATAGGTGTCCAAACCTTGGGGCGTTTTCCCGCGGCTCCGTCTTTTTTGGCAGGTCGAACCGGTCCTGTACGTGACTGGTTCGGCCTTCTCCTCGGCTCTTCAGGTCTGGTATTTTGACGCGGGTATCACCATCTCTGTGGTGATCAGGTGGCTTTGTTGTGGTGTCCCATCTGCGAACTTCGTCTCGGCGACAGTATGACGTTTCCTGGTGTTTCTATGCACTTTTTCTTGCTCTTCGTAGGTTGTCTTCTCTTTCGCATCGGGTTGTTTTGTCCTTTCTTAGGTTTTCAGGACTACAGTTTTGATGTTTCTTACTGTCTCCTCATTTTGTGCGGTGCTGGCAGAGCCGCTCCGGCTTGCGTTCGGGGTGAACGTCACATCTGCCCCGTTTCGTACGCTTTCTCGTGTTTTATTTCACCTCCGGCCTGCTCATGCGTCGCCTGAGCCGTCCTGTTCCTTGATCAAGGTGCCTTCTTATCATCTCCTCAGTTTGTGGTAGCCCCTTTGGTTCAGGTTTCTGCTCTTTGGTACTGGAGGTAGGTTTGTATGTTTGCAGCCTTTCTCCGTCCTTCTGGCGACGGTCGAGACGGCTGTTTTCTGGAGGGGTTCTTGGGTTATTGATGCATGATTGGTTCGGCCGGGGGTGCGTCCTGTATTGTCCGGTTGCGCTTTTTTTGCCGTTACCTGCGTACCGTGTCTGGGGATGCGCTTTGGGTTGATCCGGTTTCCCTCGTTCTCTGTTTCAGGGCTCAGGTCTCCCAGGTCGTCCTGAGAGTTTTTAAGTCTTCCAGCTTGCGGTCTGTCCTTGCGCGCATGCTGTTTGGACATTTGCAGCTTTTGCTGCTGTGTTGGTGACGTCTAAGGCTCATTTTGGGCGCAGGGATTTGAAGGTTGCACAGGTTCTTAGCCGCCCATTCTTTATGCGCGTCTGCTCCTGTGCGTTCATGTTGCCTTGGTTCGCAGGTCGCAGCCTGTTGTCTCGGCTTCGCGTTGCGGAGTTTGTAGCAGCCGCCTCTTGGGTCAGCCCTTTTTTTTCCTTCTCTTTGGGTATGAAGCTCCAGGGAGTCGTTGGGGCTCCCCACAGAAAACCAGTGTTGAATGTAATGAAACGCCATTTTCTGGGTGAGCCCCGGAGGCTCCCTGGCAACCCTCCCTCCCACCAGTCGGTGGTTTTTTCGTGTTGGTTGAAGCTTAGCTTCTGAACTGATGCTAGGCAGCCAGCGTGGTAGGTCCGGGTCTCCCCCCTCCCCTCTCGGGGCGGGAGGGTTGCGCGGATGATCGGCACGGCAGTAAAGTGTGATGTTTGCTTGTTTGCTTGTTTCCTTGGGATTGTAGGGAGTTTCTACCTCTGTGTTCGGTTTTTGTTTTAGTTTTTACCATGTGGGGTTTTGTTTTGTTATGCCTACCTTTCTGGGTGCAAACCCCGGTCGATGGCAGATAAGGGAAAACCCCAACCACAAGGGGGTTTTCCAGGGCCATTGCTCCCTGAAACCTCTCTGAAGAGGCCAGGTTCTGGTGCTGGTCCCTGGTAGGTCTGAACTCCTTTGCTAATGCCCCGGTCTAATATAACATACATTAGCCCGATAAGCTCCAGGGAGCCTCCGGGACTCACCCAGAAAATGGCGTTTCATTACATTCAACGCTGGTTTTTTTATATGTCTTTGGGGAAAATGACTCCTTACCAATTGAAAGCATTACCATTTCCTATTTCCAATTGAAATAGGAAATGGTATAGTGATGGTATTGAAATTTGTTTTAGTGAAAAAAATTTAATATTTCAAGTATAATTGAGTTTGATTAATGTAATTTCACCACAGATGGGATTGGCTGTGAGCGGAGAAGTACCACCTGCCATGGACGTGATGCACCAAACAGAGCATCGTGGCCTGCAGCTTCTACACTGCTGTAAGTGTGCTCTTGAACTATATTTACATAGTTTACATTCATACTTTATCATTACCCAAAATCTCACTTCTATGGGCTGAGGATACTGAATTATATTACTTAACAGTATCTCTCTCTTTGGACACCGATCATGTCCATTTTTTTCTCTTGAGTCCTAGCCGTGGACAGGACTCGAGTCCAATACAAAAATATTTGTATAAAAATCATTTTTTATCCGATCGACCTTGGGATAGTTTCAAAATATGCGCCTTTAGAATGCGTACAATTTGATACCAAAATGAAATATGTAACATGAAACTTGATGTCAAAACACTTGAAAGATTATAAATACTTTTTGGGTCTAAATTTTAAATTTTAAAATATTTATTAAAATTCTATTTATTATGCTATTATTATGGGACTAGTTTTAAAATGTGCACCTTTATATTGCGAACAATTTGATCTCAAAATGAGCGATGTAACATGAAAATTGATGTCGGAACACTGGAAAGATATAAATAATTTTGATGATGAACGTCTAAAATTAAAATATTTGTTAAAATTCCAGTTATTGCTCTATTTTTCTGAGACTAATTTTAAAATGTGCGCCTTTATATTACGAACAATTTGATACCAAAACAAGCAATGTAACCTGAAAATTGATGTTATCAAACTGAATGAGTATACACATTAGGTTGTGGTGTGCAGATTGGTGCTCGTTCATGGGTAATTTTAGGCTTTGCTGCGGAGAGTCTCGCCAGGCTTTTGGACATTATATGCATATACATCTGCAGGGAATTTAATTGCGAACACAATGATACCAAAACGAACGACGTAGCATGAGAATTAAGATGAGAAAACGGAAACGAGTATACACATTTTACTGATTTTGAGCGCTCACGGGTAACTTTTCCGACTTTAGGCTTTGCTGTGGGGAGTCTCGCCAGGTTTTTGGACATTATATGCATATACATCTGCAGGGAATTTAATTGCGAACACAATGATACCAAAACGAACGACGTAGCATGAGAAATAAGGTAAAGAAAACTGAAACGAGTATACACATTTAGGCGTCGCCGCACGCTCGCCTGCACCATTAGCCCCGTGACGTCAAAGTCTGCAGTGCTCTCGTGGCGCGCGCAATAGTGTTAATTGCTGTTTCTGAAGTGAGCCCCATCGGCTCCTTGAAACTAATGGACTCATATCCATTAAATTATTCTAGAGTATCAGTTAATTGGAGTTCTTTGCCTACTGGGAACCCACAAGCTAGAACCTGATTCCCTCAGAGAGGCGCAGGGAGCAGTGGCTTATGAACACTCCACTTTCTGAGAGTATAGTCGTGTCTGCCATCGAACCGGGGGGGGGAGGGGATCATCCAGAAAAGTAGGAGAGCCATTACAAACCCCAACTGGTAAAACATTGCAACTCAAAACCGAACAGAGCCCAAGAACTCCCCCCAAGAGGGATTTAGTTCGTGGCTCTGCTGTGCTTGTTGCCTCGGATAGCTCCTCTGCCGAGTTCTTGGGGCTAACATCTGTATGCTGTTCATGTTCAGGGAGTGTCCAACATTTTGGCTGGCGGTCTGTTTCGCTTTCTTCCTGTTTCCATGGAATGGACTGTCAGTGCCAGTTCATCTTCATCGGCACCCAGATGTCGACCTCTGCATGACTGCGTGGTCTCGGCATCTGCCTCTTTACGCAGCGCTGTTCCCCAACTGCAAAGTCCTTGCGGTGGATGCATTTCGGCTGAACTGATCGAAGTGGGGGGTACATTTACCTCTTTTCCCCCAGTCTGGCTATTACCAGCACCAGTGGTCTGGCTATTACCCTGGTGCTGGAGTCTTAAAGGCAGGGAGAGTGATTCTTCTGGCTCCTTGGTAGCTAGACCAGCCTTGGTTTCAGGCACTGCTTGTTCTGTGTCTGAACCCGGGAGTCTTCCACTGCTCTGCCTCTTTTGGAGAGTCTGGCAGGTGACGTACCTCGCTGGTGTGAGCTTCTCTTCTGCTTTTCGTGTCTGGAGTTTCTGACATATCTTTATCGCCATTTATATGTCGATCAGGTGGCTGGTTTGATGGTGTCCCACCTGTGGTTTTCTTCCTAATATCAGTATGAGGTTTCCAGGCAGTCCTTTCATCATTTTCTTTCCCTTTGTTGCCTTCTTTCTGTTTCAGAGCATGTTGTTCAGTCCTTTCTTTCTTGGTTTTCCTCGATAGGCATCTGATTCCTAATACTGTTGCTTCTTATCATCTAGCGTTGGCAAAGCTGCTTATGCCTGCGTTCGGGGTGGACGTTACTTCAGACCCATTTCACAAGCTTTCTCATGCTTTGTTTCATCTCTGCACTGCACCTGCCTGGTCTTTAGACCAGTTTCTTTCTGTTCTTTCTTCATCACAGTATAGTGTTTGTTTTTTATTTCCTTGGCTTCCGGTTGTCAGATGGGTGAACTTCATGCTCTCCTCCAGCACTGGGGTTTTTGTTCCTTTGGTCCTGGCATTCATTTTGTTAGTTTTCAGCCAGCACTTTTTTTTTATTTTTTATTTTTTGTGATGAATGAGATGGCGGGCTTCTGGAGGGGGTCCTTTTGTTGTGGAGGAGGTTGGGGGTACATCATGCGCTTTGTTTGGTGGTGGCTTTAACCCCTCTTTGGCACTGCTGCTAATAGCCAACAACACCACTGTGCATAAGAAATTAAAAAAAAAATTTCCTTCCAAGCTTGTTAAAATAATTTTTTTTTTTAAACCCAAAATTGCTTTTTGGGTTTTTGGACATAAAAATAATTATTATATATATCACACAATGGGTCCCAAGAAAGTCAGTGGTAAGGTTCAACCTAAGAATAATCTCAGTAGTGTAGTGGTAAGACACTCGCCGGGCGTTCCGCGAGCACTATGTCATGGGTTCGTATCCTGGCCGGGGAGGATTTACTGGGCGCAAATCCTTAACTGTAGTCTCTGTTTAACGCAACAGTAAAATGTGTACTTGGATGAAAAAACGATTCTTCGCGGCGGGGATCGTATTCCAGGGACATGCCCGAAACGCTACATGTTCTAGTGGCTGTACAAAAATGTAACAACTCTTGTATATAATCTCAAAAAAAAAAAAAATGGTTGTGAGTAGAGGCAGTAGCGGACGTTCCTACCTCATTAAGAAAATGTGTGAAGTATGGGAAGAACTGGAAAGTTTTGTTGAACAAACTCGCCCAGATAAAGCTGAAAGCAGGCCGTTGCATTGACCTTTTGAATGACAATGTGATGTCTCACTATAGACAAGAGTTAAAATGTAGGGAAAAACAAGTGACTTTAGACATGCTTAATAAGACAAGCAAGCAAGCAGTGAGCCACAACCAGGTCCTAGTGGTACTCCTTCAAAATGTAGAAGAGAGAATACCCCAGAAAAGTCATCATTGCCTGATGTTACAATGGAAGAGGACTCCCCTTTCAAACAGTAGCACCTCTCCTCCTCCCCTCTCCCTCACCGTCTTCCATACGCCAACAAGAGTCCTCAATAAAGGTAAGATATACATACTGTATTGTAGGTAGTACAAAAAGAGTGATATTCGGTATAAAATGTATTTTTTAGTTAATGTTTTTGGGGATGTGGAACGGATTAATACAGTTTACATTATTTCTTATGGGAAAATAGTTTCAAATAACAAATTTTTGAGTTACGACCCGTCTCTGGGAATGGATAAAATTTGTAAGTGGAGGTACCACTGTACAAGTATTTATGTAATAAAATGTTTGAAGCATCGCTATACTCAAAAATATGGTGTGCATATTAGTGATTCAATTATTATGTTAATGAAACAATAACAAAATATTTTTGGTGTTATTACACTATACTGTATACACACGTTATATATAAGTATCTACATACAGTATTCTGTTTACCATATCTGTACACCTAAGCTGGAATGGTATCCATACAGCATAGCGGCCACTATACACTCACTGCATGATAAGTCACATGGCAGCCAGCAGATGACGGCACTTCCCTCACCAAAATGGCTCCTCCCAGCATACTGTTTGTGCTGTTATTACACTATATACACAAGTTATATATAAGTATCTACATTTGTGTTCACCATAACGAACCACTAAGTTGGTATGGTGAGTCCAAACAATACCAGTGGCCGTCACTCAGCAGCCAGTTGGCGCCACTTCCCTACCTCACCAAGATTCCTCCTCCCACCATACTACTCGTATCGCTATTTCTCAGCACAATGCTGCTATTATCAGAATCCTGGTCACAAAATCCTGTAAATGAATAATTTTCCACAAGTTTTTTTGTAAAGAACCATGACAAGTCATTTCAAGATTCTTAGTTGGATCAAACAAAGGCAGTGTGCTGTGGCTAGCACTGTGAACATCTTGAACAGCATTGTGTTCACTGATATCTGAACATTGTTCAGTCTTTATCACAGTCAGGCTCTTCTGTAATACTATCATCGCTAAATAATAGCAGTTACATATATATTTTTTTTTAATTTTTCGGCAATGCTGTGGTCACAAGCTGAACAGCGGTGCTGTTAGCTCATGCTGCGTGCGCCAGCCTTGGTTGCTCACTCGGTACTGAGGCCTTCACACCCGGCAATGTCCTGCGCTTTTGCGGAATATTGATGCGGTTCAGCTTCATGTGCAGGTTCCTTCCCTGTCGGCTGTGCTTGTGGCTGAGGACTTACGAGCTCGTAGCTTTTTAGCTTCGGTCCTGTGTTTCTTTTCCCTCCTGGAACTGTCCTCGGATTGGCTTGCGGAGGATGTTGAGGTACTTGGGGCCGTTCCTGGGTCTGGCGCCTTATTCTCAGTTGCTCGTGCGTCGTCTGCTCTTTTGAAGCTGTTTGTGGCGATCCTGCGAGAGGCGTTGCTGCGGTTTTTCACTGCGCGTTTCGCGTGTTGACAGGCTATACTTGCTTCCTCCTTGGAATCCGCTTGGACCTTGCTTCTTAGCTTGTCTTCTCCTTTTTGTTCTCTGCTTTTTGAGGCCTCTGCGGTTGAGCGTTATATTCAGGCGACGGCTTCCAATTGCCGTCCTATGTCTGAATTGTTGGTGCCGTCGGCCCTGGCACTGGCAGGGTCGGCTCTGGCACGACCCCGCTGGGATCATGCCAGAGTCGACCCCGACCCTTCATCGGGGTCGGCCACAGGTGTCGAGTTTGGTGCCGGTGCCACCTGCGGTCCCGCCCGGTCAGCACGGTGTTCGCTCTGTGCGCAGATCAGGTTCTCGTACGGGACAGCAGCCTTTTCGTGGTTCACCCCATTGACGTGGCAGTGGGGGGGGGGGAGGCTTGCTCTGTTCGCTCACGCCTGGTCTCACGATTTGTGGGCTTTTCGGGTCATTTCACTCGGCCTGCAGTGGCGTTGGGGTGGCTCCTCCTCCTTTGGGGGGTTCAGGGCTGACGGGGCAGGCTTCCTCTCCTGCGCTCTGTCGAGTCGTCTTGGGTGTGGTCGAAACGACGCCGTCTCTCAGGTGGGTTTCCCGCCTGTTCCCAGTTCCAAAACAGGACTGTGCGGACCTGTGGTTCATTCTGGACTTGTCCCGTTTGAACCCTTGGGTTTCTTGCCCCTCGTTTTGGATGACCACTTTGTCCCAGGTCTGGCTTCTGTTGGAGCCGGACGCTTGGATGATGTCCTTGGACCTCAAGGACGCGTATTGTCATGTCCCTATTCATCTGGTGTTCTGAGACTGGTTCGGTTTTGTTGTGGGGTGTCAGAGTTAACGCTTTCGTTGTCTCCCGTTTGGATTGAATCTGGCACCTCGCGTGTTCACACGCCTTACCCAAATCATGGTGGCCTGTCTGCGTCTGTTAGGTGTTCAGGTGTTGGCTTACCTCGACGACTGGCTAGTTTGGGCTCCCAGTCGGTCCGTGTGTCTGCTCGCCAGGGATTTGGTGCTTTCCCAGCTCGCCGGGTTCGGATTCCTAGTGAACTGGAAGAAGTTCCATCTGGTTCCCTCCCAGGTTCGGTCCTGGCTTGGTTTTGTGTGGGACTCTCGGACTGCTTCCTTGTCTCTTCCTCCGACGTCTCTCCTTCGGCTGCGGTCCCACCTGTGCTTGTTTCTGGGGGCTCCTGGGTCACCCGGCGGTTGCTTGAGGGTCTGTGCGGGAGCCTGAACTTTTTTATGTTGGTCTACCCGCCAGGTCGGGTTTGGCTTTGTCGGCTGTTCTGGTTTCTTCGGGGACATCCCTTCCACCTCTCTCGCAATCACTGGGTTCATCCCCCGGGGGCCTTGTGTCTGCTGCTGTGTTGCCAGCTTCCTCTTTGGGTTTTTAGGGGTTCTGTGCCTTGGCGCCTACCCGAGCTCTCACTAGATGTGTTCACGGACGCGTTATCTCTCGGCTTGGACTTTGTGACCAGAGTTCACCAGACCGGCCAGGAGCGGTGGGGTCCGTCCTTCCGTTTGGTCCACAGCATGGTGCGGGAGTTCACGGCCATGTGGTTTGCGCTTCGGAGGGTTCGGGTTGCCCGCAGATCGATGATCCTGTTCCATTCAGACTGCTCCCTGGTAGTTCATTGTCTGAACCAAGGGCGTTCGATGCGATCTTTGGCTCTTTGGGGTTGGTCGCTTCAGGTGACTCGTCTGCTGAGTTCTCGGGTTTGGCTCTCCTGGCGGTTCACGTCCGGGGGTGTCCAACGTCCTGGCGGACAGCTGTCCGGGTTCGTGCTGTGGACCCGACGGTCGACGCCGACTCATTCAGTTGGCTCTGCCAGACGTTTGGGCGCGCCCTTCCCCGACTGCGAGGCTGTCGAGATCGATGCCTTTCGGCAGGACTGGTCGAGGTGGGGGTTCCTGTACCTCTTTCCCCCGGTTCAGCTGTTGCTCCAGGTCCTGGCTCGCATGGAGACTTACCAGGGGTGAGTAGTCCTCTAGGCCCCATGGTGGCCGGCCCAGCCGTGGTTTCAGGCGCTGCTTGCCCAGTGTCCGAACCCGGAGGTTTTTCTGCGGCTCCGCCTCTTTCAGGAGATCGGCCCAGTCCGGTACAAGACTGGTTCGCTCTTTTCCGCAAGTCTTCGCATTTGGTATTTTTGACTTGTGTTTATCACCATCTCTATGGTGATCAGGTGGCTTCCTTGGTGGTTTCCCACCTGCGGGCTTCCTCTCGGCGGCAGTATTAAGTTTCCTGGCGGTCCTTCCGATTCTTTTTGTCCCTTCGTCGTTGCTCTTCGCTTTCAGTTCAGGTGGTGTTGTCCTTTCTCTCTTGGTTGTTCCAGGACCGTCATCATCTGCCTAATACTGTTGCCTCGTATCGTGCGGCGCTGACAGAGTTGCTGCAGCTTGCTTTCGGTATTAATGTTACTTCTGCACCATTTTGCAAGTTGTCTTGTGCGTTGTTTCACCTCCGGCCTGCTCATGCGCCGTCTGAGCCGTCCTGGTCTTTGGACAGAGTGCTCTCCTATCTTTCTTCTCAGTTTGTTGTGGCCCCTTCGGTTCAGGATTATTTTGCTAAGGCTCTTTTTCTGTTGGCATTATCCTCTGGGGGTTGTTTGGCGGAGCTTCATGCTCTTCTCCGGCGCAGAGGTTTTTGCTCTTTTGGTCGTGGTCATAGGTATGTTCGTCTACAGTCGTCTCCCTCTTTTCTGGCGAAGAATGAGACTGCTGCCTTCCGGAGGGGTCCTTGGGTTGTTGATGCTTGGTTTGTCAGGTCGGGGGTTCATCATGTGTTGTATCCGGTTGCGGCCCTCCGCCTATATCTGCACCATGGCTTCTGTGTTCTGGGACGCGCTTTGGGTTGATCCGGTTTCCCTTCGTCCCTCCGCCAATATCTGCGCACCATGGCTTCTGTGTTCTGGGACGCACTTTCGGTTGATCCGGTTTCCCTTCGTTCCTGTTCGCGGTTTCGTGTCTCTCAGGTCATCCGCATGGTCATTAAATCCAGCCAGCCTGCGGTCTATCTCCTTGCCCATGACGTTCGTATGTTTGCTGCTATTGCTTCCATCTATGGCATTATGTCTTGGGCTGACATTCAGGCACAGGGTTTTTGGCAGTCGAACAGGGTCCTGGCTGCACGCTATCTCATGAACGTTCCTGGACCCAGTTGGGTCTGTGTTGCTTTGGGTCGACGGTTGCAGCCCGTTGTCTCGACTTCGAGTTGAGGAGTGGAGCACCGACCGCCTCCCGGGTAAGTCCCCTTTTATTCTGTTGGCTTTGGTGAAGTAGCTCCGGGTAGCCATAGGGGCTCCTCCCAGAAAACCAGCGTTGAATATAATGAAACACCACTTTCTGGGCGAGTCTCAGAGGCTCCCGGCAACTCTCCCTCCCTCCGGTCAGCGTTTTTTTGCGTTTTTTGATATCCAGCCTCAGAACTGGGGTGGGGATCGCTGGCGCGGGGGTCTGGGGCTTCCCCTTCACCCTCCCGGGGAGGGAGGAGTTGCACAGACATGTGGTGCGGCTCGTGTGATGTCATGCTTGTTTGCTAGAATTTCTTTTGGGGAGTTCTGTCCACTTGTTTGACGATTTTCGTTGTTAATCAGAATAGGAGTTTGTTTTGTGGCGCTTACCTTTTTGGGTGCCTGTCCCGGTCGATGGCAGATATAGAATGCACCAAATCACATGTGCATTTCTATGGGCCATTGCTCCCCGTGCCTCTCTGAGGGGGCCAGGTTCTGGCTCGTGGTCCCCAGTAGGCCTAGAACTCCACCCACATCGACTGATGCAAAATAGTTAGGATTTCCATATCAGCCATGGATAGCTCCAGGGAGCCTCCGGGACTCACCCAGAAAATAGCATTTCATTACCTTCAAAAAAACACTAAAAGCCCCGAAATCATCTCAAGATAACGTCAAGATAGATCTGTCATGAGAACAGGCAGTGTATATCTGCATCTATTTTTCTGATGTCCCTAAAATGTCCCAGCATACAAATGCTGGGATAAATGTTAATGTAAAAGCTTGCTTGTGGCCTGTGGTTAATGTCTGTAACATTTGGACAGATGGGCTGGACTTGATGGACTGACTAGTGAGGGTGAAGGTGAGGAAGGGAGCACCATGTCCCCCATGGGTCTGCCACAGTATCGCCGCCACTCCACTGACACAACCCATTTGAATCTGAACTCAGTGTCTCCACTGATTGCAAAAACCAGAAGCACTGACAACATAACTGTGGTTTGTAGGGCTCTTGTGTTTTTAACTGTTGATATATCTTGCATGTGTACTTGTATGTGTGTGCGTGCATCTAGTGTATTTATATTCTTTTGTGCTCCATTCCTTCTGGATTATAGTGGGCCTTTTGTACTTGAATCATTTTATACACCTTCAAACATTGAAGAATTTTGAAGAAGCACTTAAATATTTGCTGAAGAACACATGTTGATTTGGATTCCATAAATGGAGAGCAGGCATGTCACCTGCTTGCACTATGTACACAGTAATGTATGTAAACAAATTGATGGTTCTGTAGATCAGAATTTCCAAAGTGATAATTGATGACCATGGTGTTATAGCACCAAAATGTACTGATACAGATGCAAAGGTACTTCCTGGCAGCACTTTGTGAATATTGATAGAAAAAAAATAAAAAGATATTGTTGAAAATATTTATGGAAAACACCACAATGGAAGCTGCTAACACTGTTCATCTATGCTACTTGTATCAGATGCATCATCACTGAACACAGAAAACGATTCTTCTATGTATCATCTATATAAATTGGAGATGGCATAGGTGGGCCAAGGGTGGCGCTCAGAGCTACAACTGGATACGCTCGCTGTATCGACCTCATAGGTGCTGTATCACTTGCATCCGACCTTTGTGTTAGGTCCTTATTGCATCTAGCTTCACAAATATCATGACCCTTATGATCTTCAAACAATAAGGTTTGAATTTCACCGACAGAGCGCGATCTTTCAACACTGCGTCGGACAGGTGTTTGGGATCCAGAGGCGCGTGCGCCACCCATGGTTGCTCACTCAGTACAACCCAGCCAGCAGCCCTAGGGCATTCTGGGAATTTTTTCAAAGATGGCTGCCTCTCACTGGAGGTCCTAAGAGTCCATTTCGTACACAACCAACCGTGCACACATTTTGAAAGGTACGAAAAATTCAAAAAGAGTTTTCTCGTTTGGCGCAGTTTCCCATCGACCGAGTTTTCTCGGTTGGCACAGTCCAGTGGTTAAGGTGATATTTTATCAATTGGATCATTCATTATTCCTTCATTGTTAGTACTTAAATTCTATTACCAGGCTGCATTATTCTACCACTTCCAGATGTATATTGATCTTCTGTGCATGACATTGGATCATCAATAGTCAGGCTAGCTCAATGTAGAGTATTGATGCCATAATTCCCAAAACCCCTGCATGATTATATATCAGTAATATAGCTTCAGGGATCCACAGGGGCTGACCCAGAAATTAGCATTTCATTATGATAAAAGCTGGATTTATGTTAAGTTATGCTCGAAATTATCTGCATATTAATAGTTTTATGTCAATTTCATTGTGCACCTAAAAAGTACTCCACTGTATCTAGTTTAAAATATACTGCATATAAATAAATATTATTGCTTATTTACTGTATTTATTTATTTATTTATTTTATTAACCCCTGGGTGACACTTGAGATTATAGCTTGCAGCACTATTAGGCTCAAGGAAAAAAAATCAATTTTTTTTCTTCTTTTTAAGATGATTCACACTTTTGTTCTGTAGGGACGGAGGTGACGTCCACAAATAACTCTGCGGATGTTCCTTGGGGACGTAGGTGAAGTCCAAAATTAAAATATTTGTTAAAAATTAATTTTTTATCCGATCATTGTGGGATTAGTTTTAAAATGCACACCTTTAGACTGTGAACCATTTGATACCAGAATGAACGACATAGCATGGAAATTAAGATGAGAAAATTTAACAGAGTACTGTATACACATTTTAGTGTAAGTGTGCGGATGGGTGCATACTCATGGGTAACACTTGGCAGACTTTCTAGTTTGCTGTGGGTAGCGCAGCCTGTTTATTTTTATCTTATATACATATATCCCTTTAAAAAATTCTGTTGCGAACAAATTGATATCAAAATGAACAATATAACACGAAAATTGTTGAGTAACGCTTGGCCAATTTTCAGGTTTGCTGTGGGTGGCACACTGGGCTTTTTGACCTTATATGCATATATCCCTTTAGAAAATTCTATTGCGAACACTTTGGTATCAAAATGAATGATGTAACACGAAAGTTGACGTGAGAAAACTGAACTTAGTATAAACATTTTAGTGCAGGTATTTTGGGTGTGCAGATGTGTGCTTGCTTGTAGGTAAGGCTTAGCTGATTTTTGGGTTTGCTGCAGGTGGCACGATGGGCTTTTTGACCTTATATGCTTGTATCCCTTTCGAGAATTCTATTGCAACATTTTGATACCAAAATGAACGATGTAACATGAAAATTGACATGAGAAAACTGAAAAGAATATACACATTTTAGTGGTTGCGCGCTCACGGGTAATGCTCGGCCAGTTTTTGGGTTCGTTGTGGGGTGGCACGCCGGGCTTTCTGAGGGGAGCCCCTACGGCACCCCGGAGCCATCCAGGCTGATATGCTAATGTCAGATTTTGGCATCAGTCATGTGTATGGAGTTTTTGGGCCTACCGGGACCACAGACAGAACCTGGCCCCGTCAGAGAGGCAAGGGGAACAATGGCCTATAGAAGCCCCCATGTGGTTAGAAGCATTCTATGTCTGCCATCAACCGGGTCAGGCACCCAGAAAGGTAAGCATCCCAAAACAAACCCCTATTCTGGTGAAAATATTGCTACCTAAATCCGAACAAGTGGATAGAACTCCCCCAAACAAAAACGAGCAAACTAGTGTGACGTCACCTGTTGCCGCGCCGCCGTCTGCGCAGCTCCCCCCTCCCCGGGAGGGGGAAGGGGAAGCCCCAGACCTACTGCGCCAGCGCTCCACGCCCCAGTTATTGAGGCTGATGCTATAGGCAGCAATGGTGTGCTCTGGCTCCAGACTTTTAAGGCGCTGTGCTTTGTATGTGGCGGCTGTTCTCCAGGGGTGTGAGAGTCAGGAGTTACTCTTCAGTACTCGGGCTGCATGCGCCTAGGGTTCCCTTCCCTAGGTGCCCTATAAGTACTGTCCTTGGAGCTTGGGGTTACCTTCCACAGGTTCCTTGGGTCTGCCTCTGTGGATTCGTTTAACTGCTTGGTTTTTTGGCCACCCTTTGGGTACTTGCATGTTTTGTCTCTTTAGTTTACCTTAGGGTAGGAGGCAGTTTTGCACGGGTAAGGGGCACAGGGTGCTGTGCAGCTTGTTGTCACCAATCACAGCGACCGGCTCTGTTCCTTGGGGTACATTGTCCTCTTGTGGGGTTTTGTTTTCTTTTTCTTTTTGCTTTGGTAGGGGGTTCTGCCCTATTTGCCACTGGTGTTTGGCCTCCTTCTGATACTTGGTGGTGTCCCCTGCTAGGTCCCCGTGAGTATACATGTCCCTGGGGTTCAGCTGTAGACAGTTTGCTTGGTAGTTTTGGGCGCCGGTTAGCAGTACCCTGCCTGAGTTTACCTGAGCGCGAGTCCTCTTATAGTAAATGCTCGGACCCTGGGAATCCCGTAAGGGATGCGTGGGTCCAATGGATGCGACCCCGAAGTCACTCCTCGCTTCATGCAAGTTTGAGGGTTGTTCGGTCCCCTTATCTCAGGGCGACCCTCACGGTTTTTCCCTCTGTCACACTGCCTGTTGAGGTCGGTGACAGTTTCGACCCTAAGTCCTGTGAGTTTTGCTGCTTGCTGGTGACTCAATTTACCCAATCTGCGGATGATCTTCTTCGAGTACAGGCTGTGCAGGCGTTGCATTCTAGGTTTCATTTGTTGCAACGCGCTCGGTTGGTTGCTCACCCAGATGCCCCGCAGCTGCCCCGTTTTGCTTATAGGGACCCGGACTTGGGGGTGGGGGTTGCCTCGACCCTGGTTCAGTCCGCACCTCCTCGTCCTTCCCCTCCTGTTGTTCATTCTGGTCCCCTCTCCCCTGCTTCCGGCCCCGAAACGTCTGAGGGTTTCGAAGTCAGAGCAGGGGTTAGTTGGTCTTGAGACTCGGGCAGCCTCGGGGGGATGCCCCTTCCAGTGTGGCGACGGAGGCATTCGAGTCTCCTCCCCCGGCCGAAGCCTCTGGGTCTGACCAGTGGGCCCCCTTCTGTTCGGCTTCTACGGCTGCGCCGGCCTTGTCTAGTGGGGTCGGTGCTTGAGGGGAGGACTCGGCCTCAGGTCCTGCAGAGGAGGATCTTGGGGCTGGGGAGGGGCTGACTTGGGGGCCTTGGGCCCTGCTGGACCCCACCTGGGTTTTTCTGCCCTCTGAACGGGGCTTACAATTACAAGGAGTGGGGTTTTCTTTTCCCCCCTCTGCGTACGAGTTGGACTTGGTGTCTGCCCCTTCCCTGGTTCGGTTCCGTGTTTTCCCAGGTGCTTCGGTTCCGTCTTTCAGGAGGTTTTCGGCTTATCGCATCCAACCTGCTGCGGTGCGGGTGGCCCTTGCGGCAAACCTCCTGCGTGACCCAGATTATGCCTCAGCAATGGATCCCTCGGCTTTCAGGTTTGGGACGTTGTTTACTTTCTGGCTCCGTTACAAGGTTCCGGAGTCGTCCTGGCTGGCGGACAGTCCTGTCTTTACCTTGGAGGCCTGGCCCTCCTCCTGCCGTTCCCGCAACTCAAGCGTGAGGCTTCGACGGTGCTGCAGGTTTTCCTGGGGGCGACCTAGAGCACCTCAATGGGTGCTTGTTTGCTCCTGCTCTTTCCCGGGATGTTGGTGTCGTTCAGCTCCATGTGCAGGTTCCCTCCCTTTCTGCGGCGCTGGTGGACGAGGACTTGCGCGCCCAGGGCCTTTTGGCTTCGGCCTTGCATTTCTTTTCCCTCCTCGAGCTGTCTTCAGACTGGCTCACGGAGGATGTGGGGGCACTTGGGGCTGTTCCTGGTTTTGGCGCCTTGGCCTCGGCGGCTCGCTCGTCGGCTGCCTTGCTGAAGCTTTTCGCACCGATCTTGCGGGATGTGGTTGCACTGTTTTATGTTTCCCGGCTCACGTGTTGGCAGGTGGTGCTTGCCTCTTCTCTGGAATCCGCTTGGGCCTTGGCTCTTAGGATGTCTTCGCCCTTTTGTCCTCTCCTGTTTGAGGCTTCAGCCG